CCCATCACAACTTATCGTTTACAAACTGTGGTATCTAAGAAGAAAGTTAGCAAACTAGCTGTAGTAAGAAATAAAATCAAACGGCGTATCCGTGAAGCGGCAAGATACGCACTACCAGTTGTCGGAAAAATACGTAAGAAAATAAGTCGTTGGTAACTTGAAAACTATTGAAACTAAATATACGGATCGAATATTAAACTTAATAGGACACGACTATCTCTTCTTTGCCAAAATTGAAGCATACTCTTGTTCTTGGAAAGAACTGTGTGTGACAGTTGAAAGGGCGATGGGGGATCCAAAGTGTTATAAAAAAGAGGACGGTCGTGGTGATTCTCATTTTGATGTCGGTCGTAAGAAAGATTACAAAGGACCTGATAAAACAGGTGAAAAAACCCACCGCAAATAAAAAGGTGAATAACAATATATACTCTTCACGACGACCAAATTCATATATTGCCAACCTTATTTCAATTATCCATATGTGTTTGATTGATTCATTGATTTTCCTTGCACCGTCAAATCTGTTCTTTATAACCTTGTGCTTTCATTCGTTTTTTTTTTTTGCATATTGATTCAAAGTTCCTCTTGTCTCATCCCAGATAACTCTCTTTCATGTAATTCTTTATCCAATTTTTCTCTTTCCTTCATTTTATTCAGAACCCTCAATTCAAAATCGCTAGCCTAAAAAATACTTTCATAAGTTTATATGCAAAATAAAATTAATATGTTTCCAACAAAAAATCTTACATTAAAATTCGGCTTCTTATATATGGGTGGAGCAGAAGGAGATGAGGACGAAGGAATTATGGTAGATTTTGAAACTGCAGAAAGTCTTAGTTTCTCTTCTCTTTCTCTTCGTCTACGAGCTGTCTCTTCTCTTAGACGTTCGATCTATTATGAAAAATCGGTTGTGTTCAATAAAAAATAAGTGGAATTCCTGAAGTGAGATTTTTTTCTTTACCTTTGCTTGCCTAGATTCCTCGGTAAAGACTGAATTTCTTGCTTGTTTCGCAATTTTTTCGCCTTCCTCAAGTTCTATAATAAAATAAAATTTTTCACGGGTATATTCTCAATAATTCACAAGCGCAAGACTAATAGGTTACCCTCTTTCATGGCCTTTCTTTTTGCATTCAAAGCTTCATATCTTTTTTTGACTGCAAGACGAGCCTTATGGGTATTATCATAATTCAGTTTTTTAATAGGATCAGATAATGTTTCATATGCCTTTGATAATTGATGAAATTTCTTGGTAGCTGTATTGAAAGTAAAAATTATACGTTTATAACAGAAGAATGTAGCTATAATAGATTGGTGAAGAAACATATAAAACGTTTGGATCTACAAACCTGCCTCTGCGTTTGCGCGGTTCTTGTCAGGATGAAATTTTATGGCAGCACGACGATATGCCTTATCGATGGTCTCCTTTGAATCATTATAGGTGAC